TCTCTCAACCTCAATTTCAAATTCGCCGAATATTTCACTCCGTGTCTCTTAAGAAAAAAAAAAAAAAAAAAAAAAAAAAAAAAAAAGGGATGCGAGAGGTTTGTTGTAAATTTGTCAAATCGAGGAACCATCAAAGGAGAACAACACCGTTTATGATTTACAAAGCCGCGATCGTTGAAAAGAGTGAACTTTCACTTTAACACTCTCTCAGAGAGGCGGAGGTATATCTCACGGACGTTTCTCACGCTTTCCTTTGTACCCGTCCCTTTGCTCTACGGGTAATAGGTTAATACTCCGAAGAGAGGAGAGAGAAAGAGAGAGAGAGAGAAAAAAGAGATATTCCTCGTGCAACTTATCCGCGTCATTCATTGCGAGCTAAACGCAAGATTCTCGTTTACGGCGCGAAGTTTTCGAGTGTATCTATCGAGAGCAAAACACACACATAAGCATATCCGAAATAATGTTTAATGACGACGGAAATCGGAACTTTAAAGTACACATTTCTCGTGTAGCTCTGATTCTTTTTTTGTGTTTATACGTATAGATTGAACTAGAATGTACAAGAGTGAGAGAAAGAGAGATAGAAAGAGAGATGAGCAACCTGTTCGACTCGTTCTACTACTTGTGATAAAAAGGAATTTGTCGGTGTGTGTGTACTTATATTAAAAAAAAGAAAAATAAATTTTTACAAAACACTGGTGCATGAACGGTGCTTTTTCTCGCAACGCAGATACCGTAGCGTTTGGAGCTCCGAAACGCCGATAAGAGGAGAAACCCTACGCAAAGCTCACCAATGCGGAATACTAGAACGGAATAGATTTGGCCGCGGGCTACCGTTCGTTCGCCAAGGTCGTACGCACGGCGCTGACGTCAGAGATCATTGACTTCTTCGGGGTCTCGACCTTCTTGTGTTTCCTTTTTCTATCTTCGCTGTTTTATCTTCTATCGCGTTTGTTTAAGAATCATCTAACCCGGATAATTTTATCTACGGCTGTGTTTAATCTCCGGTGAAACTAAAGAAACTGTCATCGGCGATATATTCTTCGCCCGAATGGCTTCTTCGTTCGTGGCGTCTTCAATCGCGACGCGAAACTGGAAATACAGAAACTCGATTTGATCATTAGTCCCCAATCAAACACGTCCGCGAAGTTGGCGCATAATTAATGCGAATTTTTGTCTGGAAGACAAAAAAAAAACGTTTGTTACGTGTGTCGAGACCGTTACTGAACGATACGGCGGGAAGAAAAATGCTTGTCCTTCGAAATAACAAAAGTCACGCCTCTACCGTTAAAGCTGTTTGCGCGTATTCTTTAAGAGAGAATTGCGCAAGAGGATCGTTCAGTTCGATTCTGAGTCTCTCTCTCTCTCTCTCTCTCTCTCTTTCTTTCTTACTCCTTCTTTTTCTTTTTTTCTTTTTCTTGCTTCGTGTTTCTTTCCGCGCTACCATGTGCGCGGGTTACTTGTAGTACTTCGCTTTCAAGGTCGATTTCGGTGTAATTGAAGGAACTTTGTGTCGAGAACACTTTTCGCCCGATCTTTACATACGAAAGAACATCCGCTCGTATAAATCAATGTTGCTCTCGAAACCCGACCAAAGGCTCGAATAAGTTTTCTAATTATACAGAGGATGACTCAGAACAATCTGTTATCTTTGAAAATACATATTTTTGACAAAATTCTAAGACAATTTTTTATTTGACAAAATTTTGTTTGAAGCTTATTTGGTTGAGTTATTAATAAAAATAGGTGACTTACCACGAGTCGGATACAAGAGAGGCAGGAGCGGCGGCGCAACTCATCGTGATCGACAATGATTTATGTGATGCACGGATTAAGTGATACAAATTACGAATGAATAAATAAATAAATAAGTGAGAGAAAAAGAAAGAAAGAGAGAGAGAGAGAGAAAGAGAAACAGAAAAAGATACAGAAACAATGTATAGCAATCAGCTGATCGCACCACATGTAATCGTCTACGTCTGACGGCGAGTTGCGCCATCCCTGCCTACCTCTTGTATCCGACTCGTGCTAAGTTTCAACTATTTTTTTATTAATAACTCAAAAAAGTAAGCTTCAGACAAAATTTTGTCAAATAAAAAGTTGTCTTAGAATTTAGTCAAGAATATGTATTTTCAAGGATAACGGGTTGTTCTGAATCACCCTGTATATCGATGATATTAAGTTTTTGCACACAACAAAATTATAAAAATAATACGTTACTTGAATATATAAGAGCGAAACAAACAACTCGTAATCACGAAAGAGCGATTAGATATCTAGAATGTGATTTAACTGCGATGATAGACGTTTACTATGCACGTTGATAATTTGTAATAGCCGGATGTTCTCTCTCTCTCTCTCTCTCTCTCTCTCTCTCTCTCTCTCTCTCTCTCTCTCTCTCTCTTCAGGAGTGAAACTTTCAAGTGAAACTATATGATTCAGTTTGACGTTATATTCGCAAGCGCAAAGAGATCGTCTTATCGATTATTAATTTAATTGTAATTGTGATAATGAAAGAGTGAGAGAAAATAATTCTTACCGAAGAAAACAATGTATTACGAGAGCGAGCAGCGATTCTTGTTTGAAAGCTCGCAACTGTTAGCATGGAAAGTCGTTGCGAAGTAAGTTCAATTTTATTGTGAGTATTTTTCAACACCATTCAACATGACGTGCACAGGACAAAAAGAGAAAAATTGATTGATAATTTTTTTATTTTTTATTTTTTTAAAGCTGACGCCACCACAACGACGGCCGTGAACGTTTTGCGCGGCCCTCTTTTAACGTAGTTAGATTAAGTTAGTTCACCATCGGAATAGATTCTGATGTGGTGTCGCATTTGAAGGTTTTATCTGCACAGGTGAAGGTGGTCAAGTTCAGCTACATGTGGACGATAAATAACTTCAGCTTCTGTCGCGAGGAAATGGGGGAGGTTCTCAAGTCATCCACGTTCTCAGCGGGGGCCAACGACAAGCTGAAATGGTAAGATGACGACTTCTCTTGACTAGTCAAAAGATTCAGTAAGAGCGTGTTTTTTTCTGATTTATGTGTATACGGAAAAAAAAGAGAGAAAGATTGTTTAAGATTCTTTGCATTGCATACGAACCGAAGAACAAGATAACGCGTGCGTTATTCAAAAGTGACTACGTCATTCCGTTGTTGAATCGTGCGACGGCAATTAGCGGAAGCGTTTGCATCTATTGACACTTCATTCAAACGCTAAGTGAAGACTACTCGAGCTCATCGAATTTACAATTCTCAAAATGATGATAATCCATAATTCATAAAGTTGTTTTTTTTTGCAAAGTGCTAATTATACAAAATTTTTTTATTTTCTGCGTCACGAGTTATGTGACGCAGATCAATTTCAATCTGCGCCGTGCGAACAAGTTTAACACATTCCATGTGGAACAGGAACTCGGAGGGAATGACTTTTAAAATCTAAATAAATTGTGTGAGAGTGACGTGTGCCATTGTCACTCTGACCGCGTATCACATTTCCGACTTATTTTCTTGTGTTTGCGTCCGTGTGACACACTAATGAAAAATATGCCTTTAAAAGTGACGAAATAAAATACTGAATCAATTTTTAAATTGAAAAAATCCGAAAAAAAGTTGGAAAAAATTTTGATCATTACGGTTCTTCGAAAAAGAGAATAACCGTCTTAGTGAATGACAAGTAGTTGTGTCAATTGATGCGATAATTGCTTTCTAGGTGCCTGAGAGTGAATCCTAAGGGTCTGGACGAGGAGAGTAAAGACTACCTGTCGCTGTATCTCCTTCTTGTTTCATGCAACAAATCCGAAGTCAGAGCAAAGTTCAAATTTTCTATTCTTAATGCCAAAAGAGAAGAAACCAAAGCAATGGGTAAGTCGGCAAACGTTGCGTATGCAATTTAATGCATCACCGTTGTTGTATCATGTGCGAATGCAATGCAGGGTATTTTAAAGACTTTCGTTGATTGTCGCGATGCACAACGATATTTAACGACGAGAGAGCTTTTAATAAGTAATATATAAGATGCCATTTAAAAATATATAATCTTTAAAACAAAATCTTATTTGTACTTGCAGAAAGTCAACGTGCTTATAGGTTCGTCCAGGGTAAAGATTGGGGCTTTAAGAAATTTATTAGGAGAGACTTTCTTCTGGATGAAGCCAACGGACTGCTACCTGACGATAAACTCACGATATTTTGTGAGGTACATACCTTTGTATGTCGTTTGTTACACTTATTCTCGCGAGTCTCGATTGTTTTCTGAATAACATCTCCAATTTTATTATCTCTCCAGGTTAGCGTAGTGGCAGATAGCGTCAATATCTCTGGACAGAGTAATACGATACAATTCAAAGTACCGGAATGCCGATTACCCGATGATCTCGGATTGCTGTTCGAGAACCAAAAATTTAGTGATGTTACACTGACTGTATCCGGAAGGGAGTTTCAAGCGCACAAAGCAATTCTCGCAGGTAAGGACTCACCATCCTATCTCTATAAAATATAAAAGAAAAAATACGAGATAAAAACGATAAGATTATAAACATCGTTTTGACTGAAAACAAAAATATAGGATAAAATAGTAAGAATTTTTTGTGAGATAAAATATGAATAGAATTACACGCGTCTTACAAAAAAGTTCAATTTGCAATTATAGATTTTTATAAACAATTATAAATTGCAGCAAGAAGTCCCGTTTTCTCGGCGATGTTTGAACACGAAATGGAAGAGAGAAAACAGAATCGTGTGGACATTACCGACGTGGACCACGAAGTATTAAGAGAAATGCTGCGATTTATCTATACCGGTAAAGCAGCAAATCTTGAAAAAATGGCAGACGATCTGTTAGCCGCTGCGGACAAATATGCGCTGGAAAGGCTGAAGGTAATGTGCGAAGAAGCGCTTTGCACAAGTTTAGCGATTGAGAACGCGGCCGACATTCTTATCCTTGCCGATCTCCATAGCGCTGATCAATTAAAGGCGCAAGCGATAGACTTCATTAATACGTAAGTTTTCGCAGCAGAGAAAACAAAGATGTGTGAAATAAATAATATATCGGCTCGTTTGCTAGAAAATAATTTTGCTCTCTGACGATCAAAATTATATTCTTTATGCTATGCGAGTAAATGATCGGTAACGCGCGATCTAATTAAACTATAATTCGTTCGCAGACATGCAACAGATGTAATGGACACTATGGGTTTTAAATCTATGGTAAACTCTCATCCACATCTGATAGCGGAAGCTTTTCGGGCATTGGCGACTCAACAAATCCCACCGATCGGACAGCCTAGAAAACGGGTCAAACAGAGCTGAAAACAGTCACCGTTAATCCCGGGCATGACCTCCACATCGCCCCCGCCACTTTTGCATCCCTCTTGAACTTTTGTGTACAGTGATATAACGAAATATAGTAGTGCTAAATAAATGTTTCCTAGTGCGCCACCCTCTGGTCTAAGAAAATCATATGGAACCGAAGCGATAGAGAACCAACCAAGCGACAACTTTCTTGGTTGAGAATGTCCAGTGATCGACGGGAAAAGGAAAAATAGAAGGAGGAAGAGGAGAGAAGACGAAGACAAAAATGATGAAGAAGAAGAGAAAGAAGAACCGTCTGTCCGTCCGTCCGGTCGGTCGAGGGCGAGTTTAAAAGAGCGTTTTCACACACAATGCCCCAGACTTTTGTGTTCAAGTGAGTGTCAGTAGTAAAGAGAATTCGGCGTGACGCAACCACCATCAGCGTTCCATCTCCGCACGTCGAGGAGGAGAGGGACGAGACGCTCAAAAGTAACCACACCTACACATCCCTAATACATCCAAGTAAACACAGAAACTGTTACTTCTTGAGCGGCCTGTGCACGTGAGTCGGTTCATCGCAGCACTATCATTGGGCAACGTGCTCGTTTTCTTCAAAATGCCAATTATATCGATGCCAATTGATCAGTTCTCGGTGATATCGTAGAAAATGTCATACCAAGTTTAAACGTCGTCACCATCATGAATTCTTGTTTTTGTTTCTCTGTCATCGAACAAAAAAAAAAAAAAAACGAATCGCGGAAGCACACGGCCGTGCGAGACGTTGATAAACACCGAATACATAGCCAGAGAGGACCAAGAAGAGGCGAGGAACTTTTTCTCCACGTGACTCGCCGTCGCGATCGTCGCAACACCAGCAAAGCGCGCGATGCACGAAGGAAGTTGTGATAGACGTCGGCTAGACGATTTAAACATTTTGTTCCTTTGTCGAAAGAAAAGAAAATAAAAAAAAAAATTGAAGAAAACGGATCAAGCGGATACCCTTTTAGCGCCGTCGCTCGACGTGTCAAGCGCGGAGAGAATTAAATACTTTGTTTTTACCGGTAGTAGTGATTTTTTTAGTTTTAGCGCGTCTCAAACTCTTCCACAAAACGGAATAATTATTACTAGTTAGTGTTCTTTTTTTATGATCTCTCTACGCATACACATGTACACATGTATGATTATTATTATCATTATTATTATTACTATTATTATTATTATTACTACTACTACTACTATTATTATTATTATTATTAACGATATGCAATCTGTGCCTCTTTTCTCCTGTGTATTTTTGTACATTTTTGTTTACAAAGAGAGAAAGAGAGAAAGAGAAAAAGAAAGATAAACTTATCTATTCTTTTCCGCTCTTTCCCTTTCCTTCTTGCGATAAATCCTATTTTCTGTCCTTTACGTTTCCCCAACGATAGGCACAGTTTGTCTTGTTTTTTGGAGTATTTCATATTGTAAGAAAAGTGATAAGATCGAATTATTATTATTATTAATTACTATGTTATTAAATTTAGGGTTGTCCATAATTTATTGGATCTATGTTGAGAGTATGTCAGAAATGTCTATTTTACATTTTCTTATTAAAAAACAAAAAAAAAAACTGTAATCCGCAATTCGAAGTTGACACTCAACAAATTCAACGAGTATAGATCAAAAAGAAAAAAAAAAGAAAGCGACAAAAAAACTAGATTAAAAGAATTGTATAATAAAATAAATGTTAGTCAATTATAGCGCGATAATTGTCTTTTCTTTTTGTCATCGATTGAGAAAGTAAAAAAAAAAAAAAAACTTTGTGTATGGTCAATGAACTGAATTATGGGCAACCACCAGAGGCAAAAACAATAATCAATCGTTTAGTACCATATGTACTGGCTTCCTGATCCTCCGACCTTTTTAGCTTTACCGAGAGAACCGAGTTTTAAATATGCGGAATACTTATTACCATTTAACACATCATTAATGATGACAATTAATGCCATACATGTTCTGTGATAAGACCACTGTAATTACTGCAATTGTATAATCGATCCTTTCTAGAGACAGACCTCCCCGACGATCTTGGCAGCCAGTGAATTTACTCGTTATAAGATGCAAAATAAGTGACAGTCGTTTATCCGGACAGTCCCAAATCTAGCGCGTCCTTTTCTCGATTTTAAGATTTTTACATTGTACATATATCTGCCGTGTGTATTTTATATAAGAAATGAACAAATCAGTATGTGTGTGAGAAAATCCTATACTTTTACGAAACCGTACAATAATCAGATGATATGTAATTTGTTTCAAATTTTTACAGACTGCGCTAAACTCATGTTCCTTGAAATATAGCACCAATGCTTTTAACTCGAATGTAATATAATGCCAATAAATTGACATGTATATTACAAAGTTTTGTTGTAACGCGTCGAGCAAAAAATGTGATTTGTATCGAATATCAAAATTACTGATGATGAAAATTTTTTCCTTATCTATTTTTCTACACAAAAGTCTTTTTATTTAAATCTTAAAATGTTTACACACAAAAGGGAAAAGATATATGAAAAAGAAAATTTAAAAAGAAATAATTTAAGGAACAGTTTTTGGCCGTGCTTATTCTCATATTTTATCAGCGACCATCCTCTAATTCTTTCATATCTATCTTTGGGACTGTACGGCGATTTATTTCGTAAAAATAAACACAACATTGTGAATGTCTTTTCCTCCAAGAAAAAAAGTAAAAGAAACGAGAACCAGAGCAAAAACAGAGAGAAAAAACCAAATTCCACACTGAAATATATAATCCGCAAAATACAGATCCAAAACAAACAAAAAAAAAACAGAGATAAGGCGCTATTCGTACAAACCAATCCGCAGCAAACTATAATATGATCGTATGACTGGATATATGTATAATTTGATAAACTATTAAGTACAAGTAAGACAAGTGTTACCTCATCATGATGAAATGCGGCGCGTGTCGAAACAATTTTACCAACAGTAAAAGTAAGTAGCCGCTACCACACGCTCGCTCTCTGATACACAAACTTCCGTTGTATATTGCATTTAAAAAAAAAAAAAAAAAAAAAAAAATCGAAAGCGCTCTTTTGTAAAGTAAATGGTGTATACGTGACGGTAGTGGCTGACCCGTCAAAAGTGTGTGTGCGCGCGCGCGCCGCTCATTAAAAACACAGCTCATACAGACATTCATTTTCCATTTTACTTTAAGTCATTGCACCACATCAAATAAATGACATTTTCATTATATAATTCTGAGGCGTAAGTTTCATTACCCTCTCCGTAAGATTAAAAAACCATAGTCTCAACAAGAACAGTTTGTTGCAAAATATAACTATAGATTATATTCGAGCAAGTTTTTATGTATATAGACGTAGAAATATCTTTATGTGCAATAATATCATTGTTACATATGTTGAGTAACGGAAACTGTAGAAGGTTGGTCAAAAAGTTGAGTTCTCTCCTGCGGTTTTGGCGTTCCGGGATATGATGGCGGGGCTTCTTGCATAGATGTCTACAACAAAAAGTATCATGTTTTATCATGTGTTTCGAAACATATTTTTAACACTTGGTTATCAGTCGTTTGTCTGCGAGTTAAGGTAAGTTGTGAAAACGCATACGTAGTCGCACGTATATTCTTATCATAATCTGCTGATTAAAATTAAGAAGTAGATAATCAACATACCCTGTTGTAGGGAGACGTGTAAAGCGGAGGGGCATTGTTGGAGGACGTATGAACAGATGTACTGTGAGCTACCTCACTGTACGGAGGCGGTCTCTCTCGTAAACCTTCAATAGTGCTGCAATGTGTTATTGTATTGTATTCATCGCGGAACACGATACATCTTGGGCGTCTACAGATGTTCTGCCTTGTTCTATAAACATATTTATAATAACTGAAACTGATATACTGATTTTGATAAGTTTAATTAATTAGATTGATATATGCAAAACAAAAAAAGAATTAAACTATAATAAATACTTGAACTATAAAAAAAAAGATAATATATCATAATACTATAAAATAATATACAAAGTTAAAACGTAATATCGTATCATAATACTATATCATAAATTTACTTTATCGATCGCAGTTGCGATCACTTAAAAAACAATGAAAAGCTAAATTTTTTTGTATTTGCATTCTTACCTTTTACATAGTTTGCAATAAATTACAAGAAGACCAAGAATACCAAAAGCGCACAAAACGGAAACACTGATTTCTATTATTACTAGGAGATCCTGTCGCCTGTAATAAATTTCTGTCTGTTAATGAAAACCCAAAATTTGCCAATGTATCTTGAAGTATATTCAAGAAGCAAGATTAAAAGATATATATTACGTGACGATCATTAACACTTGTAATATATTCTTACCTCTGATACAGAACACAGTTTTCGCAATAGCAACATTGACTATCGGAGCAACATATTGAATATCTGCCTGTGTAAACACAACAAAACATACAATAAGATATATGCTTAATAAATAAACGTACAATGAAACATATGTTGTGCGTGAAAAAGTGAAACAATTTTAACTTGTTTCTCTTTTATACGCGTATATATTGATTCGATACATATAAAATTTACCGTAATTTTCCAAGCTGCAATTACATAGTTGTTCCGCTATGACATTACATTGAGTGCAATTTAGTTTGACAAAATATTCTGTACTTTCCGTGAAGTTCTCCCAATTTGAAGTGGGAATTACGTTGCCTAAAACATAATTTTACACCTCAGACAATTACTCCATGTACAAACGTATTTAACTGTGTTTAATAAACTCATCTAAAACTTTCAAAACAAAAGAACAAATTAAAATTTACATATGTATTTACGTGTATATTTGAAGTACAACAAACAATTGTTACATACCTAAACTTTCCATCGAATTTACTGTAATGTAGAAGTATAAATATCCTAAGAAAAGCGGACTCATAATGTCACACCTATATTGTAGATAAGAAAGTAACCATTTAGACGTGCTAAAAACTGTCATTTGCACAACGATTAATCACTCGATCTTGCGCGATTGATTACATAGACTGCAATTAATATTGCTAAGCGCGAGAACATCTTCACAAGGATAAACCATGTTAAGATAAAAGTTAACAGTCACTTTCGATGCAAATATACTTCTGACTGAGTATCTCGCAAAATACGATATATTCGCGTCCTATCAATCTTATCAATGAAGTCCGATAAGGTTCTATAATCAGCGGTTTTCAACAGGAAGAAGCATTTCTTTACATCACTAATCGGAGACGTTAAGCGAAATTTGAAGATTATATACATATATGTACACACATACATATGTGCACGCAATTGTTCAATTAATATTCAACATAAAGGTGTATATTTTAGTTTTTTTTTTTTTTTTTTTTTTATAAATACACAATAGATAAAACAAATAAAGTATAGTATTGGTCTTATTACATTGTGTAATACATATATATTAACACGTATTGATAATTGAGGCTTTTAAAAATTGCTTAATATACAGTGGAATTCTGAGGTGAAGATGTTAGATAGTAATAAATGTTCTGTACAATATCAATTAGTTAATGTGACTAATGCTTCTACAACGTCCCCTCTATTTTCTCGAAGAATTTGTTCTGCTAAATTTTTACTGATCTCCATCTCCTTCATCTAAAATAAAACAAACGTTTTGTAATAAATAATAATGAATATTCACAAAATTCTATAACTTTCTTAATTCCTAAGTTTCTCTAAGTCACAATATATATGTATATATTCATACATTTAGTTATATTTACTTACGATTAAATCTACATCCTCCTTTTTTATGGATACTTTGAGCAGTTCTTTTTCTTTTGCTTTCTTTTCTGCAGCTTCCTTATCTCGACGATCACCGATGATACTCAGAGCCTGTTAGACATTCTTTTTAATGTAAAAATCACATTAACGTCCAAAAAACAGGATAGAGAGCATTAAAAAGTGAAGTATAGATAGGTTAGGGTTAGGTTAAATTAGGTTATGTAACCTTAAAGTTTAACCTCGTCTCGCAAAACTTCAGTGCTCATGTAGTAAGTAAAAATGTTAATGAATTGACGAAATAAAATAGTTCAAAGAAATGTAAAATATATCTTTCTGTTTAAATTTACGTAACATACGCAATATGCAATATAATCGAAAATTATGATGCGCACATGTAAATCGCGAAAAATTTGTATAAACTTACGCAAGAAAATCCATCAGAGGATGAAATCTCCTTCTCTTCCGCATAATCAGTAACTCTTTCTAAATCTGCAGCTCCGCTATCATATTTGGCAGCTTTTTTCTGCGACTTTTCTTGCTGAACGTCATCTGAGTCCCCATGGTCCCCGTTTACATCTTCATCCGCCATTTTCACATGTGAGTTATGTATATGCATACCTCCTGTTCCGTTATTACTGGCAGTACTGAAAATTTATAGGTTCACGTCACGTATCCTATAGATTGTTCAGTACTGCCAGTAATAACGGAACAGAGCCCATAACCGTTGAGTTTTCTGAACGTAACCATAGTTCAGTGGGTGCCAGCATGGGTTACGTTTCAAAATCCCTATCTTGGTAACCAAAACCTATAGCACACGTGACGTGAAATATATCATTTTAGTAACCAAGCTAGAATTTTGGAACGTAATCTGATGGCTCTTAAAGCTCCCATAGGTGTCGCTCGCAACAGACGCTCATTTCTGTTTATGTTTACGAAATAACTATCAAATCGAATTCAATGGAATTTGTGTGCTCGGTATAATTCATTTACAAGTTGGTGCATGATACAAATTATGTAGTCGCATCATGAGATAGTATATGCAAAAGCAGAGAGTACATGATGAAGCAAGATTTCCTCGATATACATATCATATTATGTAAATAAATCTATTTTATATAATGGCATTCTCGTTTCGAGCTGGAACAAATTGGTGTCATGATTTTCCAAAACTGGCCAAAGAGTCGGGGTTTTATTTTAATATGCACGGATCTCGAGTGCGAGTTGACTGGAATCGCATAAGTAACTAAATATTGCACAATTGAATTTGGGAGTTTACTGTTGCACAATGCTAATACTTACGTCTTTTTTTGTTTTTTAATTACAGGCGCCATAGACATTGACAGAGTTATACATGAAAGAGATTTCTGGACTATAGATGAAAACATTAACAATGTAATAGATTACTGTCTAGAAAATGAATATGATACCAAGATCTTGGATCCTAATTTTGTTAAGTTATTTAGACTTGCACAATTGTCAGTTGAGTATTTATTGTATTGTAAGCAATATTTAGATCATAGTGTAATAATACTGAAAGATGAGTTAAGACAGAAGATAGAGCAAAATGTGAGCATGAAGAAAGAAATTGCTACTTTAGAGGATACTGTAAAAAGTTTGAAGGAAAAGTCAAAAGAGAAACGTAAATTACTTGAAACAAGTGTGAGTGAAATTTCTAATGGAGAAATTTATAAGGTAAAATAAGAATGATTTTACTTTGATCAGTAAATTGAAGTGAAGTATAGATGTATGTAAGAGAGATTTATGAATTGATATATACCATTTCCATAATGTAACAAGTGAACTTTATATTACAGTGTCCGCATTGTCCAAAAGCATTTGTACGTGCCATCTTTGTAAACGCTCATATAGCACGCAAACATTCATATATTTCGGACATGGGTGTAACTGTTTCCCCTGTACATGAACATTATAGAGCAGAAACAGAAAAGCTGCATAATGAGATAAAGACTTTAAAAGAAAGACTTAATCAAACCGAAAGAGTAATAAGGAACGAATCTGATAGATTGCTAGATAACACAGAGAAGAGATATTTAAAAAATACAAGTCAAACTGAATCTGATATCGGCAAATTAGATAGATTTGAAGACCAAAAAAGATATCAAGAAGATATTGGTAGTTTGAGGAACATATTGTTTGATGAAATACGTGTAGGAAGCTAATGATTTCGTCTGTTTTACTTTGTAATATTTTATATATTATTTTTATATTTAATCAATTTGTTTTTTTTTTTACAGGCATTAAGAGAAAAAGATCATACCTCCTTAAATGAGAGCATTTTCGAAACAAATATTAAGTCTTTACTTAGGCAACAAGAAAAAGAGATTGAAAGTTTAAGAAATCAGCTTTTAGAAAGGGTGAGATTTTAAATCTTATTATATATGTATATACTACCTTATTATCTTTTTATTTTGTATTGTATTGCTTTTATGTTGCTGTATCAAGTTATTTTGTAGTTAACTCCAGGCATGGAAAATATGCAGATAAAATTGCAAACACAAGAGAATTATTGGAAGGCTAAAATAAAAGATATGGAAGCTCAACACAATAATGATATCGAAAGATTAACTGCAGAATTGAAAGCAACTCAGCAAATAACTGATCGTATAAAATCGGAGTACGCCGTTAAAGTACACGATTTAGAAAAACAGTCTATGGATCAGTCACATATACTGGTCGAACAAAGAAAACAGTTAAATAGCTTATCACGTGAAATCAGTAACACTCAACCACAGATCACAAATTATAAAACTAAGGGAAAAAACTGGGAAGAAGACCATGAATCTTCTCTATTGGAGGTAAAACTTAATACCACTTACAATGATAGCGAAATTAACCGAAAGAATTTAAGTGGCATTAGAAATACTGAAATGATGATTGAAGACGTTGATAATGAATCTAGTCAAGAATACAGTGACAAACTGATGTCACATAATGACAAAGATGATGTAAAAACTAAAGATAACAGAAAATTTACTGCTAATTTTAACAGAGCTAAAGAACATGCGTTTGAACGGTCTAATCTAAAAAATTCATCGATGAAGTCTAAACTTGTTGGAAAACCAAAAGACAAATCAAAACGTTACAATACATTAAATGATGCGAACGAAATAACTGATCGTACAAGTAATAACTTTACTATTAACGAAAACATTATTAGTAGACAAAATAACAATCACGCAGATGTTAGAAGCACCGAAAAGAAAAACATGAAAAATAGTAGAATACCCAAAGTTTTAAGCAAATATACCGAGAGTTCCATAACAGAATCTGAGTCTCCCTCGTCGATATCGGAGTCAGAATCCGATAGTGAAAGTATTACGGCGGACAATAGTGTCACAGTAAAACAGTCTCCCGCTATCAAAAAGATATCGGTACAGGAAGATGCGCAAAGTATGTTTGATAATCGATTGCGAGAATTGGGAATTGATCCGGAATGGCAAGGAATATCTATCGCAACATACAAGCAAAAGATGGAGATTATAAGACATCAACAAAATATTACTGCAAAAAAGTTATCTCAGTACATTCAAATAAAACAAAAAATACTTGAAGACGTTCTTCGCAAATTATCGGCAAATCATAAGAAGTTGAAATATGACACGCTTACAACGAATTCCCCGTCAAATAAGTTAGTTACTCATGTCCGATCGAAGACTGTAAAAGTAATTAACCATGAAGATGAAGGTAATTGTCACATATCTGTTAAATTTCTAATATACATTAATTAATGAGCAATATTTTTCAGGCAACAAGTCTAATCAGAAAGCACAGAACACGACACCGTCGAAATTGCGTTTAAATCAGAAGATCGAGCTTCTTCCGCAAAAATACAAAGATAAGAAATTATTCGAGAACACGCCACATGAATCACCATTGAAAATAAATAAAGTACAGACAGATGTTCTTATCAGTCCGAAAGTGAGTTTGACACACGCCAGATTGATTCGAAACATTTCCTCTTCGAGTTCTGTTGAATCTCAAGAAGATGTAAAAACACAAATTTCGTCTACAAAAATAATTGTATCGGATACCGCACGTAAAGCAAGTTCTCCGATCAACAGGAAACTCATAACAGCGCCGAAGTTTTCCGATAACGACTCGAATACGATTGTGCACCAAGATTCACTTGTATCTTCAAAATACAATAAAGGTGTTCTGAAGCCGACAAGTGCTTCAGATGGTAGCTTGATAAAAAAGAAAGTTTTGTTTGATTTAGATGACGAAAATACGACAGTGTTGAAAAGTGACCAAGGAAAAGATCAAATACATGATTTCAGTAGCTTAAGGTACTAAGAGAAGTTTACTTATATATTTAGAAATTATATACATATAATTATTGATTACTTTTATATTTTCCATATCAAAATATACAAATTATTTGGTGTTATATTTTTAACAAGCTTTCCTGAGAGAAGAGAAAACACGTTGCAGAAGGAAAAGTCATTGAGCACGGGTAACATTGTCTTAAAAACTTCACAAAGCGACAAAATCGCAGAAATATCGAAGAAAATACAGGAACAGGTAAATTGCCATCTCGTATTTTGTTTTTTTTTATGTGTGAAAATATAGTAAGAAACTTTGTGAAAAAATATTGTTACACATATGAACTTTTTCCAGCTGAATATAGCAAGAAAACCACCAGTAGGATCAGTTGAAACCATCTTTCGATCTACTTCAAGCTCTCAAGATTTAACAAACTTTAATTTAACAAATAATTTGAGTAATCAGTCGATGAATTCTCATATCTCGGAAACTCATGTATATAAGTTTATCAGTCCAAAACCTTCGGATAGTGCACTCCCACAACCCGCTCCGCGAACTCTGAAAGATAATAATATTGCTCCTCGAGAAAATAAATTCAAGTATTCTGATTTGGATTCGGATATCGATGAAATATTACAGATAGAATAAATTATTGTATAACTTAATTTAAAACATAGTTGGATTATGCATCGTTTATACACCGTACACAGTGCAGTTCTTTCTTTTCTGTAGGTATGTTATCGTTAATATATTTAAAAAACTATATATAAGGAAAATACATACATATATCTGTGATAAAAACAAAGATTGATTCAAAGTTTTCCAATCTAATTTTATTTTTTAAACTAATAAAAGCAATTACACGTGTTACACTCTGTTCAATGGAAGAGTATCATCGGATTAATGTGTATAAATTTTTCGTTGTACAAATGTTATAAAATCTGACACAAAGTTTGAAAAAGTGAGAGATATAAAACAGCCTAGTTTTCCTTGGATTCATCATAAGAAAACATATCCAAGAGAATATAAACGTAAAAACCACCTTTTAAAAAAGTAAAATACGATAAAATCTTACAAAAATATAATTTTAAAATAAGATAGTAATCTGTATTTATAAAATAAAGTAATACTCTTTAAATTTTTATAGCTGTTATTTAATGTTTAAAGTAGTTCGTTCTTTCTTAACTTACACACATAGCACTTTAGATGTGTTTGAGGTAATTGTTACATCATTAATATCAGTGGACGCTTTCCAACTACTTACACAAGCGACACTGTGTAACACAGTATGAGAAAGAGCATATCGGTGTGTCTCACTCACACTAGTAGACACTGTGTTGCACAGTGTCGCCTGTGTACGTAGGTGAAAAGCTCCCAGTATTAAGTTTACTGACACTAGCTTACTTGTAAGCTAGGCTTACAAGTATCTATTACAATTCTTAAGTCGTTATCACTTAGGTAACTAAATATTTTTTCAATACAGATATGTGGTAATTTAGGAAAGTTGTTAAAGAGAAAATAGAAAATTCTAGTGCTTTGTTCCAGCAACTCTTTTTTTTCCATACCCTTTCTGAAATTACAATTTATCATGCTAGCGTATATTGGAAATTTTGTTTTATAATCATCTGATCCTAAAACCTGCACTAAATTTTCATTTCTCATACATTTTGCTAATAGATTTGTATCTTTTATCAAGATATCATAAAATGATATGTTAGTATTACTAATTTTCTCATTCTTCATGATTGCTAGTTCTTTTTCACATTTATCCTGTAAATTCCTTATTTTATAATTGCTACTCGTTGACAATAATTGTTCACTTACGTAGAGATTTGCACTTTTCATCTTAACTATATGCCGTTCAAGAATCTTAGCAATTTTTCTAGGGCGGACGTTATCCAAACAGAGAGAATTATTGACATCTGATATAGCATTAATGTCAGCACCTCTGTCTAACAGCATCGTAACAAGTTTTACTTTTTTTGGGTTTGTAATAGCAAGAGATAGTGGTGTATCACCTAAAAAAGAAGAGATATATGAAGTGAAAGAAATATAGAAGTAACATAAACTCCATGTTTTAAAAGATGTTCATCAATCTGTAAATATTCTTTCTCAGCTAAAATATAGAGTTAAACCTGCAAAAGTACTGGTGCAAGCATGGATGTCAGCTCCATGATTTAAAAGTAATTTAGCAATTTCTATTTCTCCATTTACAATCGCATCATGAAGCGGAGTTATGTCTAACTTAGTTGCAGCATTAACGTTGGCACCTCTGTCTATAAGCATCTTAACATCATCTACATATCCTCTTCGAACAGCAATAAACAGTGGTGTAACACCTGGTGTACAGAAATAGATATATGTAGAATTGATATAAACTCCATGTTTTAAAAAATATTCATCAATCTGAATATCCTTTCTCATATGCAATATAAAGATGAGTTATACCGTCAGAGAAATTGATATTAACATTAGCTCCGTGATTTAAAAGTAATTTAGCAATTTCTGTTTCTTTTTTTTCAATTGCATCATGAAGCGGACTTCTGCCATAATAAGTTTCAGCATTAACGTCAGTACCTCCGTCTATAAGCAGCTTAACACCATCTACATGTCCTCTTCGAATAGCAAAACACAGTGGTGTATCACCTGGTGTAAATATAGATGTATATGTAGACTAAACATAAACTCCATGTTTTAAAAGATGTTCAAAAATTTATAAATATCCTTTCTCAGCTGCCATATAAAGGTATACCTAAATAGTTAGTGGCATCAACGTTAGCTCCGTGATTTAAAAGTAATTTAGCAATTTCTATTTCCTTATTTTGAATTGCATCGTGAAGCGGAGTGCCAACATAACTAAGAGCATTAACGTTGGCACCTTTGTCCAAAAGCATCTTAACATCATCCACATGTCCTCTTCGAACAGCAAGATGCAGTAGTGTATCACCTGGTGTAAATATAGATGTATATGTAGACTAAACATAAACTCCATGTTTTAAAAGATGTTCAAAAATTTATAAATATTCTTTCTCAGCTAAAATATAGAGTTATACCTGCAACATTACTGGCATTGATGTCAGCTCCGTGATTTAAAACTAATTCAGCAATTCCTATTTCCTTATTTTCAATTGCATCGTGAAACGATGTCGTGCCATTCCAAATGTTAGTATTAACGTCAACACCTCCGGTAAGAAACATCTTAACAAATTTTTAAGTCAATTTTTAACAGCAAGACACAGGGCCGTTATTCCCGCACTTTCAGGTAAACTATCGGGTAATGCGCTGTTCCACGTGTCGATAAATTTTGTAAATTGTTCGACTCGAATAATGAATAAATTCAGATATTACTTGTTAAATACGCAAAGGATGGCTTGTGTAAAATTCTTGCCCGAATACCGTATTTAATTATAAACGTCTCTCCGAACGCGGAGTTTGAATTCGAATGTGGCGAGAACCACGTGCACCGGCGTGATCGCTCCGACTACAACACAATCAATGCAGTGTTGCTGCGAAGTCGCGTTTTCGCGTATGCGCACTGTACAGCCAATTAGATTCCCGTAAAAGCTGTGTTCTCGCGCATGCGCCTTTAAATGTAGCATTACTGCCGTACTAACTCCGACATTATTAAGGTTCTGTA